AGTGAACAAAAAAATTATTAATCATTTTGATTGTTTGCTAGTTGAAAATCAATGGTATGATATTGAAGATTTTGGAGTAATCCTTAGCCGTGAAGACAATTCAGCATCAACGAGTATTCATATAATGTTATTTATTGTGTCTACAGTCGTCACAAAAATTGAGAAATTTTCAAGTTAGTTAACCTCTGTTTAATTTTGAATCTATTTAACTTTATATGCTTATGTATGAGAACTTTTTATTTAATTTGGAACTATCCAAACAAGCTTGATGGGAAGACGATGTATTTTTTTAGGATAAAATTATAATGTTAATCATTTAGATTATGTTTTTTTCTATTTTATGGTAACTTATTATGCTATAATTTCTCGATATAATTATTTCTGTTCGATTATCTCTTTTGTTATACCTATTATTTTAAAAATCAAATGATCACATACATATAATTACAATTTATGTTCAATTAATATATTGTACGTTAACGTATATAAAACATGTGTTCATAACTGCACTACAAAGCGTATGCATGCTACAGAATAAACGGTCATAACGTCAGCTTTTTAACTTGTCAATATTTATGAGTTGTCTCGGTAATCGATTGGGGTGCAATAGTAATGAAACCATATAATAAATTGAATAAATATAATTTATTATATGATGACGATAATAAACTGTAATTATAAGTATACATATGCATTAATTTTGTTATATATATTTGATATTCTTTGATAATATATAAAAATATGATGTCTATGTTACTTATTTTTGTTGTTGTTTAACTATAACAACTTCATCTGTTCTTTTTATTTATTAATTACTAAAAAATATATAGTAAGATACATTCTGTCACTGATGCTACATATGTGAGATACAAGACACATTATTTTTCTGCATGGTAATCATTACACTAGAGATCAATGCATTTTATATTTCAATTTAAGATAACCAATATAATAAATGAATCGTCGCCATTTAATATAATTTTATATTGTTAGGTGTCAAACGGTTATTATATAAGATAGAAACTAAAAACTGTAATCATAAACTACTTTTTCACTCCTAACATATGATAATGAACTAAGTCTTATTTTATTTCAGTTATCCGAGTGATTTTTATTCGATATCTAAAATGTATAACCAATAATTATACTATTAACTCTTATGTATTAAATGTGAAAATGAATTTTCGCTCCTGTATGAAATATAAATTCTATATCATGTAAGATACTTTCAGTCCTAACATAAGAAAACGAATATTTATGTATATATTTTGGAATATGAATCTCTAAAAAATTTGTCATAAATTAATACAATATAGAAAAGTATGTTGCATTCAATGTATATAAACGTCATTAGTTGCTACGATAGGTGTAATCATTATTTTTGTTGTTTAACAAGAAAACCAAACGTCTGCCAAAATTAATTAGAAGAAGTTATTCTTTTCATTTTTGACGACGGTTTCACTTTATTTGTATTCTATTTCAGAGACTATTGCTTAACAGAACAAACAATTTCAAAACATGAACTTCTCGAATTATGTCTTACCATGACTTAGTTAGTAAGCTTACGCCATGGGAAGAAAATCCGGTGATACGTGTTGTTATTTACAAAAAAATGGATTGAGAAAGACAGTCGTGGTCATGATCGTGTCGAATTCATATTTGCCGACGAAGAGGTAAATAAGTTGATCTTTTATGCTAGATGAATTTTTGGTGCATGCAAGTAAAAGGTTTTGCCCTAATAGTTTTTGTATATTACAATCTGTAATCATTCTAGGGCTGTAAAATTCATGCGTCTGCTCATAAGTGGATCCATGAATATTTCAAGAATGTATGTCACGAAGGAGAATGGTTCGAAATTCGCAATTTTATTGTTAGATTTTCAGACTGGAACAATTGGAAAGAACGCCCAACTAAACATCCTTACAATATCTTTCTTACTCGAGATACCACGCTTGAATTTATACGCGATGAGCCGGTATCTAATTGGTATTTCTTGAATTTAATCAAATTCGGAGATATTGTGAAGAGGAAAGTGGATCCTGTGTTTCCTATTGGTAATATTTTATTTTCATTATTGATTTATTTAGTTTATTTGTTCTTAATAATAATTAGTCCATTATATGTAGGGAATCATAATGTTATTTTAACTTCTATTCTTTTTTTTTAATAGACTTGGTTGGTGTGATCGATTTTGTTGGTGAAATATCCATTGGCAATGACTTTGACTCCATTTCAAGAATCCAGCCAAATAAAGTTCTTGAATTTCATATAAGAGATCTCGAGTAAGTGTATTTTCTATATGTTATGCAAATTCATTTTTATATGTATTATTCATTGGTGTTATGTTTTCTTTTAAATTTAGGGATGTTGTTATCAAATGTTTTGCCTTTGATAACTGCGCAATTTGTTTTGATAATTCATGGAAATCGAGAAAGACTGATCGCATTTTCGTTCTGTTAACTGAGTGGAAACTTGATCTCTATAAAGGTTAGATACTCCATGTATTATTATTATTTAATTTGGTATCTGAACTTCTACCAAAGTATATAACGGTGTCAAATGCTACAATTATATTTTTCTTTGTAGGTGAACACATTGTCAGAAATGGAGGATGTCAGTCTCGATTTCTTTTCAACCCAGAGATAACTGAAGTTCAAGAGTTTGCGTACATGTAAGCTGTTTTATCTTTATTTTTAAATGAAATCATAATTTATAGTTGCTGACTATTCATATTTATATCAACAGGTTCATTCTGGCCGAGAAGAAGTCAAATATCAAACCAGGAAATTAAGATGTGCAGATGAAATTGGACTACATTATAGCACAATTTCGGTAAAAGGAGATATGCCCTCCTACTTATATTTATGTTATGAATCTAATATCTTGAACTTATTAATTTTTGTGGGCTTTTTACAATGGTTGTTTAGAAATTTCCGTAAACATATTTTATTTTAATATCTAAATTATTATCTGCTTAAATATTTATCAATGATCGTTAATACGAATCATGTGTTAGAAATATGAAAATTAAGTTATTAACTAGGTAAATTTTATTATTATTATATATACATTATTATATGAAAGGATATTATCTTGAGATACAGATTAATGAGCTTTTAGCTAGAATGTAACTTATCATACCAAATGATTGTAATACAAATTGTTGGGCTTTTATTGTTTAAAATCTGTAAAACTATCAACAATTTTGCTTTCTACACTATATATACACTTAGCAAATTTACATTTTAATTTGCCCATTTTATTGCTTACATATACTTAAAATCTACATCTCCATATAATAAACATCACGTATTGATGTTTAAACTCCACATATTATTCTATCCATAACATTCAACTATATATATACATTGAACTAAACATTAATTGGATATAACTTATAATTTATTTTTTATTTTAGCTAACAAAAATCATGCACGCCCACCAATAAACGGGTTAGAATCTAGTATAAATTATTATATTAATATATTATTAACTATATAATTCACATAACGAGAATTAACAAAAATTCTTTATCCACCTTAATTCACACATATCATTATTTAAATCATATAATTCGTATAGTTAACATTGCATTAATATAGTTTTTTTTTTTTGTGCAACCAGGTACTTCGATTAATCAAACAGAAATTGCGTGAACCGCATACAAAGAGTTTTTCCCGAAGGAAGCAGCAAATACATTAGATAAACTTATGATAAACATGATAGAAGTGAAACCAAATCTTCTGGTGAGGAGTGAAATCCTAGAGAATACCAAGAAGTTCGAAGACACAAGAGCCTTAGTCGATAGCTCAACCAATTGTAAGGAGTCGGATTTTACCGAGCTTGTCCTTAATTCTTCAGAGATAGCTTGAGGAAGATTTCCACGGATTGAAATCCTTTCTGCCACTAAAAGGGAAATAACGAGTTCAAAGCTTTGGGATAAAGACACCACATGCGGAGATGCATAGGATTTACTCAAGTAATCCTCAATTTGAGAAATAAACTTTGTGAGAAATTCATGGATAGGTACAGACACCACAAGCAAAATTGCTTTGGATTTACATAGAATACCCATCTGTCGTTCAAGCAAGACGACATGAGTGCCATTATAGGCCACAAACATGGAAATGTCGGAAAACATAGCCATCGGATCATAACTAACTATACCGAGATTCCACAAATCCAAAAACATCCTCTCAACAAGCAACTGATTTCTTCCAAAGCAAGAAGCAGAGAGTGAACAAAGGCGAACCTGGAAGACCATAGCCCCCACGGTAAAGTAGTGCAGTGTTCTCGAGGATGCAGACATGGAAGCAAGATCGGCCACCTTCTTTGCCATCGAAACTCTTGATAGCTCGTAAGCAGTTTGTCCTTGAAACTGTCCAAGATTGATCAGAAGGAGACGTAGCGAAGAAGATGACAAGTATAGCGGATTGGCTTTGACGCAGCAGGCGGCGAAGCTAGACGGAGTGAACCGATAAGCAGCGGCTGAACAAAGAGGATAATCAAAGATTAACAGGGCTAGGACCAAAGCAGCTCCCTTCAAATCCGATCTTAAGCAGACACAGCCTTCGTGATGGTGAGAGAGAGTTCAAGGCAGAGATACGGCGAGACGGCGAAGTAGTGAGAAGGCAAGGTTGAGAGCCGGCAGTAAAGGTGAGGGGAGAGATGGAGTGTCGAAGAGAGGGTGCGGCGGTAAGGACGCCGGTGCAGCAGAGGTGAGGCTGAGCTGGCGGTGACGTGACGACGAGAGCGAACAGGATTCCAAAATACATAAACAAAATAGAAATACAGCCGAGGGGATAATACTTTGCCGGCGCTTGTCTCACGGCCAAGGCCGGAGCAAGGCTCGAGCCAAACCCCAGCTGAAGAGAGGAGAAAACGACCGAAGGATTAGACGGAGAAGACAAAGTTAGATTGGAGAACTGAGTTGAACGGCTGCCTGGGTAAATGTGTCTGGGAGAAAAGAGTTAGGGCGAACTCAGTTGTGGCCGGACAAAAAAAAATGCATTAATATAGTTTATATGTATGGCCATAGGATAGAGTATATAATTTATGTTGGTAGCTATCATTTTTCATTTTATTTCCATCATACAACATCTTAAGGAGCATTCTCTAGCTCCCAGCAACGAAGATGGCTTCCACCACCAACATCCTTGCTCTTCGCTCTTCCTTTATCATCAACCCTAGATTCAATCCCAACCTCCATCACCATAATCCTAATCTCCGTCTCTCTCTTCCCCATAAACCCACCTTCAATCTCTCCCTCCAAAACCCTAAAACCATCGTCTCCGCCGTCGTTACCTCCTCATCTCCAACACTCTCCACGAAACCCCCTCCTCAAATTTCCTTCTCCAACTCGACGAAATCAATCACAACCCTCGCGATTCTCGCCGGAATCGTAACCAAATCCCTAGTTCAGAAGCTCTCCGCCGCGATTGTAACCCTATCCCCACAGATCCAAGCATCTCTCCGAGTTTCCGGTCCGTTGTTCTTCGCGTCGATTCGCGACCGTCCCGCCGGTTATCTGAACACGCCGTTGACAGTAGTTGCGGCGGGTTTATCAAAGTGGCTAGATATCTACAGTGGCGTTCTAATGGTTAGAGTTTTGCTCAGTTGGTTCCCGAACATTCCATGGGATCGTCAGCCTTTGTCTGCAATTAGAGACCTCTGTGATCCTTATCTGAATCTATTCAGGAACATTATCCCTCCGGTGTTTGATACGCTTGATGTTAGCCCTTTGCTTGCTTTTGCTGTTTTGGGAACTTTGGGTTCGATTCTGAACAATAGCAGAGGATAGTTGAAAGTTTCTGACTCTGGTTCGAGTGATGCAAAAGCTTATGGATCTTATCAGGTTTTGATCTTTGGTATTTTATATTGTTTATAGTTAAAAGCATTTGGAAGGTAAAAAATGTATTGGACTTAAAAGTTTCAGTATCAGCTTATCTCTGTTGTTCTGTGTTTATGGTAATAAATGAACTTCATTTCGATGCGAAAGCTTGGAGATTGTTGTTTCAATATGTATTGACCGAAGTATATTCTTTATGGCATTGCACAAATTTGGTTTCGATCATAGAAATTGCAGCTTGCTTGTGCTGAGAATCATATCGATTTATGAAAGCTTGCGTATTGTTGTTTTAGTTCTTATTTACAGCTAAAGAGCTAAAGAGTTAACAGCATAGGAGATGATTATGTGAAACCTACTGGTCCAAAATATATATGGTGTTCTGTGTTTATCGCAATGAATGAATTTGGTTTTATTGGGATAGCTTGGAGATTGTTATTTCACTATGTATCGACTTAGATTGTTATGGCAATTCACAGATTTGGTTTCGATAATACAAAAGCTTGGCCGTGCTGAGAATTATATGATATACGATAGCTTGGTATTGTTGATTTATAGTTCTTCTTGACAGTTAAAAGAATTAATGACATAGGAGATGATTATGTGAACCCCACTGGTCCATCTAGTAGACTTAAGGCTAGTTGTTATGCTCAGTTTTCGACCTTGAAATTTTTTTGAAAACAAGTGTTTTTCTCATGCAATACATGTAAAAGAGTTTTTTTTTTTCTTGCAGTTTTTGTAATTTAATTTCACTTTGAAGGCGATATCTTGGTGATGTTGAAGATTTAGTGGCTGGGAAACAAAAAGGCTTGTGCTTTTAGAACCCATTTGGCTTAGCATCATCTCAACGACCTTAGCACACTACCCCTAAATTTGAAGGTTGCTAAAATTTGAGATTTTTGGCTTTACTGATGGAAAATATCTGGTTCTATTTTAGTGATATGTGAAAAAAAAGTTTGATGTCAAAAACAAAAGTTCAATGCAAATTAATATATTCTAAAATTTTATTTTGTTTTTGTTGTTTTTTCCTTGTTAAATTTTATTATTATTTTTTTTTTGCTGGAAATATTGTAAAACATCTATAAATTAATAATATTAAAGTTATGATATTTTATTAATTTATCGTGAGAAATTTTGTTTTTTACTTATAATTTTCTAAAATTTTTTTTAGAATAATGTTATATTTTAAATTTTAACAAATCTCATAATATAAATTATGACTAACAATCATAACTATCGTAGTAAAATAGTTTTAATATCATATTAGATTGTTTATGTAAAAATATACATGCTCATAAGTTTAAATTTATAAAAAATATCATGGTTACTATACGCATTATTGATGATAAAATTAAAATAACACTATAATGCATTTAAATACATGTACAAGTAAGAAAATCAATTATCACATCAAAAAAATATCATAAATTTTGAATGTATATCGTAAAACACCAATAAAAACTACTGATATAATAACTAGAGAAATAAGATCTAATAAAATTTCAATCTTAAATAAAAGCAAACACATTTTTTTTTTGTCGTCAATCCATTTCATTAGGCCTATAAGGCTCTGAGGCCCAAAAGAGCATTCAAGTACAATAAGAAGACGAGTATAATAAATTAAGCCCAAAGAGACCCAAAATACAACAAAGACACGTAGTTGATCACATGTAAGCTCAATAACAATAATAAACACACGTGTCTTGCTCTAAGATAGGTTTTCGCTCATCACCGCTGTGCCGCTTCGAACTGCCATACGTCGTCGCGGTTTGCCGTCGAAGCTTCAACACCCAAGATCACGGTTAAGCCTTATTCGCCATGATTGTACCAACCAGACTCCTCAAAGAACCACCATAATTTCCAGAATATGCATAGCCACAGTTAGATTCCTTCTTCTCCACAAATTAGCCACCATTCATCAAGCTTCATGACCTGTCACCCTCCGCCATGAAAAGGCTTCTTCTAAGGGAGACTTAAGGGAAATAATATCCCGGCCGAAATGAGCAGATGAAATTAAAAGATGAAGAAGATGAAATTTAACCATTAAACCAGATCTGGATAGAACTATAGAGGAATCTAAGAAAAACAAACGAAAACCAATCCGTTTTAAAACGGAAAATTTTATTCCGATAAACGGAAAACCTAATTCCGACAAACGGAAGTATAACACAACCAAAAGGATCCGATGAAGTTGGAAGCTAAATCCGATCTATATCAGATCGGAAGACAAAAGATGAAAGGTGCTCTATCTCTCTGAAAGATCGAAGTGAGAGAAGAGAGAGGGGCCCAAAAGCAAACACATTAATCATATATTTTAGAATATTATATTTATATATATTTGCATAAATATATATAATTATTAATTTATATTTTTATTAGGACCATATATTTACATAGTTGTTTTAAAAAAATTTATTATCTTATCGAATTTGATGAATTTTTATATTGACCCAATTTGGGACCAGTAAAATTTATTAATTTACAGTGATTATTAATTTATCAAGTATTAATTTATAGAGTTTCTACAGTATGTAGATTGAATCAACAAAACAAAGAAAGTAGAGTAATCGGAATTACTTTCAATACATAACAGTATTCAGATGTTAGGTCGAGATATTCAGACTCGCACCATTAATTTAACTAACCATTGGCGTTTATCTTAATGCACAAAAATGTACGAAAGTCTACTTACTGTAGGACCGCGAAAATCCGATTGAAATCACGAATAGAAAATAGCAATATTATAAACGATATATTAAGGTAAGAGATTAAAACGAGTGTTTAAAAACCGATTGAAAACAGACGAAAAACACGGAGTCGAGATATGATCTCTTTCCTTAACTCAATAAATCGCCTGTAATGTGTGACCGTTTGTTGCGATTTTTGAATCCCAGGATAAGACCGTGATGAGACTATTACGCAACACCTGTAATAGAATCTGCGAACTGAAAATACTACGTTATAGCAATCGAGACACTTACAAAATTAAGACGAGAGAGATTTGCTGGAAAGAATTATTTGTTGTGTGTTTGGTGTATTCGAGAATTCGATGATTTAGAATGAGAGAAGAGGGCGCCTATTTATACTGGAAGGTTCAGCTTGATCCGCAAGGAATAAGCTTTGGCAAAAAGGAATATTTGCGAGATATTCTTCTTTTCCCGCAAGTAAAAGGACTCAGAAATCTTCCGTTATTATCTGGACGCAATCTTTTATTTCCTAAGATTTATCCTTTCAATATGCAAAAATTATTTCGCAGGAACTAAGAAGCCCACGACCCATGTCCAGCTATATAGAGCCCAAGAGCACTAAGAGCCAACTTAAAAATGCAACGAGTAACGAGCAACGAGCACGAGCCCGGCACCGGCGATGGCAGTGGCGGCGGCGCGCGTAGATGTTTTTGCATAATGTTTTTTTATTTCCACAATGCTGTTGACCTTTATTGTGAGAAGACCATATATATACAAGAGATTTTTCTCCTTGGTGAGCAATGTGGGACAAATACACTTCCACTAAACTTCCACTTTTAGTTATAGATAATAGGAACATTTCATTTCCATAGGCTCAAACCCAAATCTCAAATGAATTTATAAGGCCCATTTGCTTATTAAACTTCATTTCTTATTCACACACAAACTCAATATTACAAGTTCAAATGCTTATTAATATTGAGTTCCAACACTTGCCATTCAAGTTGATTGGTGTCATGCTACTTCTACATTCAGTACGTAAAAATGATAATGCACTACAGCACTACTCAACCAATTCTTACTATTCCAGATGGGCTAATGCACCTGTTGACATAATCTTCAATTGGATTATCATTTCTTGCAATGCTCACATACTTCTAATCCATGTCAAGTGCAATTTTTCTCGTCTCCTTTTATCTTAGGGTCATATGAGACGAGTTCACCACTGCTCAACGTGCCAAGAAGATAAAGATATTCAGCACGATTAAGACCACTTTCATCTACTTCTACAAAGTGTTCTTACCACCCAATAATTTCATAGTCAGAGTCACAATAATCATCTCAAACTAGGAACTGGAGCTGGTTTACAAAGTTGATAACCAAATTAAAAGAAATCAAACCAAGTTAGAGAGCAAAATAAAAGAAATCAAAATTTGAATTCCGATCGATAACTTTTCATAACAAAAAAAATGATTTATTAACAATAAGGCTTTAGTAGATATGAACTTATTATGGTCCGAGACATTGTTGGGGTCAGTTTTTGCCCCCATAAATTTAACTATCTAAAAAAGACTAAGTGTTAAAATTGAGCTTCAGAAAGCCCAATTCCGCAATTTCTCCTAAGAAGGGCCGAACTGAAATACAGGATATACCGTAAACCGACCCGAATCGAAATCAGCTGGATGATCGACTCAAATGAACCGAGCCGAGCCAATATTGGTTCGGACCGAGCCTAATCAAGAACCGGCTCGGCAAAACCAACCCAAATCGAGGAACGTTTCAACCGGCTCGAGCTAAACCACATCAAGAATGATGGAACCGAGCCGGACCAGAAGATTCCATGCGTACTTGAGCCAAGGAGTAACCCATAAAAGAGAAGTGGATTGGGCCGAAGGAGAAAGAGAATGGGCCTAGCCGGAGGTTCGATATCGTTAACAGGCCGAACCAGATAGTCACGAAGGGATCAGAGTCGGCAGCCGCACGAAGAAAAAGGGAAATTTCTGAAAATCTCTCTCGAGATTCTTGTTTAGGCGGTTGATGCGTGTCAACTGCGTGAGGGAACAAGTTTTACCCTTACCAAAAACAAATGAAAGCCGCAAGTGCACAGGTAATCAGTTGTAGTATTTAGGGATCGAATCCACAGAGATTTGTGTGCCTGGTATTCTTCTACGGTTTCTAACTTTATGTCTAGACTAGATTGGTTTTAGGGGTTGGTTGTTTGTCACAAATTAAACTAAAACGAAAGAAAACAAATAAATCTATCTTAGAAAGCAAAAATAAAAATCGCATGGAAAGCAAATGAAACAAGCAAAACATCGAACTAAAGTAAATAAAATGCAGATCTAAATAAACAAGTAAAAATCGATTGGTTTGTAAACTATGGCTAAAAACGCTGAGCTTTTTGGAACTCTACACGGTTTTTAACACTAGGGATTATAGATTGGGATTGACGGGTATCGAAATATAGGGTTCTAGAGCTAGAGTACGGCGTATGACTACGTCACTGTCGTGATCATAACCAACTGTTTCTCGCAACCCTGACCAGTAGGTTTCCACTCTGGCCCTGGAAGGGAGAGAACGCAAGAGCTGCACAAGACTCGTCGGTACTCACGATCTCACCGCAGGTAGGTTTCCACTCCTACGGAAAAATCGCCTGTTTCATTCTAGGTCTGATACTTAATGAAAACTTTCGCAACACCAACTATCTAGATCAGATACTAGGTGATCAATCAAGCATACATGCAATAAGAACGAGAATAAACAGAGAACAAAGTTAAAATCTCAGATCTATAAACCTAGATGTCTTAATCGATTATGAGAGCCCCTTTCGGGAACCCTAAGCCCAACTCGGGATCTACTCAGACATGGCTGAGGTCGACATCATCATTGGTTTTAATGAAAGTAATCAAAAACAGTAAAGAAAAGAGATGAAAGAAAGCTTCTCTATTGAAGAACTCAGACTTGAACAATCTTCTATAAAAATCGCATAAAACGGCTAAAGGAAAAGGGTTTCTGTAAAAGTATAAAGGTGGTGTCGAAAAACAACCTAAATGACAAGTTTTTATAGTCTTCAATACTCCATGGTCTCTAGGGTTCCAGAATTGAGGCTGAGAAATGACTTTGGGCTTCAGAAATATGGGCCTTAATTTGGAGTTGGCCGGCCGCGGTCGGGAGTAATGTGACCACGGGAAATAGGTGGTTGGCAGTCGGGAAGCTTGTGACCGCGGGAAATAGGCTGGTGGCCGCGGTCGCGTGACTTGCTGGCCGTCTTCGAGTGTCTCCGGGG